TATGTAATATAAAACAACCAATTACGGAAATGTCGATAATGCACACCCCACGGCTAATGTGCATCCGGCATGCCTTGAACCCCCTTTCTTGGGCTCCTGGCTACCCCAGGGATAAGGTGTAAACGACACAGCGATACGACAACAGCAGCGACTCGAATCGTAGGGACCGAAGCCTCCCTTACATAAAATCAATTACAAAATAAATGAATAAAATGAAAAAAAAATAAAATAACGAAATATTTGATTTTAATATAAATTATTTCTTCTTTCTTTGAAGTCGATGTCTTTTAACTTTGATGTCTTTTAATTTCTTCTTTCTTTGAAGGTGATGTCTTTTAAAATAAAATCAATCCGTCGGTTTGGAAGATCGTAGAGAAAGTTTAAAAAAAATTATTATTCTTTAATGCAATTAAAGATCGTATCTTCTTTATTGATTTTCTTCATCTGCTGGCTGCTGTTGCTTTTTTATTTTTATTCTAAAAAAATATCAATTATGTCCAATTTGTAACATCCATCTCTATAGTACAAAAACATTACGAGTTTTTACAATTAATTAAATTTTTATATAATTAAATAAATGATTATTAATTGTACAATATATATATATATATATATATGTGTGTGTATATATGTAAGTATATATACATATATATGTATTATTAATAAATATACATACTCTGCTCTTTGCTGACGCCACTTAGCATGTACTAGCCAACTTGATACAATTTCAGCAATCTCTGTATTCTTTGCTTCCGGTTTATGCATTCGTACCACTCCTGTCAGTTACACAAATAAAAATCGGTATTAATATATAATTAATGTTATACGAAATTAATATTTATTTATACAAATATTATCCTGCAATAATTCATAAAATTCATGAAATACTCTAGAAATTAGAACTATTACGGAAAACTGCCTATAATAAGATAGTTGTTTTGGACATGACAGAATAGTTTCCCGTATAATACTCACTGTTTAGGATTGTGCATATCTTGAGAGCACTGAAATTTCTTTTGTTTCGTTGTCCCAAATAACTAAAATTCTGTGCAATATT